GTATGAGGTCGGCTTTGCGCATGCGCCGCTCAGAAGTGACGAATGCGGAAGCACAGCGGAGCGATCAAAACAAAACAATGGTCACTAATTAGAAGTAAAAAATTAGGATTTGTAAAGAAGAATGTCGGAGGATTTCGATATAAGCCAAGACGAGACTGGCTTTCCTTCGCTAAAGTAAGGAAACTTTGCTTCATTTGCTCCTGTTAACAAACGTTGGTTTTCACGAGACTCACCGGCGCATGCGCAATGCTGAACTGATACGTCATCCGCCCGGAGCTGCTTCCGTGTACAACTGTTGGCGCAAGCTACATTAAAGTGATTATTACGTTTTGAATATGGATATTTTTCTTACAAAAACGCATCGATTCGCTACAGGAGGCCTTTGTTCACCCCCAGGAGCCATGTGAGGCACTTTTTTTTTATGGCTGGGCGCTTTTTATTTAACTTCTTTTGGACTGATGCATGCAACACCCGCTGAGTGGCATTAAACAGCTTGAAAGATCAAAGACAATTTTTAATATAACTCTGACTGGATTTGTCTGAAAGAAGAAAGTCATATACACCTAGGATGACTTGAGGGTGAGTAATTTATGGGCTAATTTTCATTTTTGGGAGAACTAACCCTTTAAGTTTTGCCTAATCAAAAATCCAATTCAAGATTTAATTTGACTAATATATTATGTATTTTGGATATATTTAATAATGATGAATTTGGTGATGAATTTTGTTTCTAAGGGTGTTGCTAGGCAGGGTGTTCTGGGTGGTTGCTAGGTTTAATTGTCCATTTTAGAAAAAATGTAAGTCTGCACTGTAAGAAATTACCTGTAAATTTTACAGTAAAATAATGGCAGCATGGTTGCCAGCCGGTTACTATAATTTGTACAGTAGCATTGCTGTAATTTAATTTACAGCATTTTCCTGTATTTCCTGATTACAGTATTTTTTACAACTGCTGTAATTTTTACAGTAAACTACTTTAATGTGTGTATGCTATAATATTAATGAATAATAATGACTGGCAGCTGAATTTTAAATGTAAACTATTCATTAACTGCATAAGCTTTAAACCATATTTAAGTGCATAAAATGTTGTATAATGCATAACTTAATTCACCCTATTATTTCACAAAACAAATTAATTTGGCACTTCTTAATCTTGAAAAACAGGTCCAAATTTATTTAATATATAACTTTAAAATTTGCATGAAAGAAATGTAATGAGTGTATTTAGTATTATTTTGAATTACAAAATAAATTGGACATGAAATTAAATATTTTAAATGACTTGAAACATATATTACCCTGCATTACTTTAAAACCTCAAGTTAACCAACATGTTCATAATAAAACGGTTCTATAAACCACAAAGATACTGATGAATTTTCACCACTTCATGAACAGTCCAACATGGGCAAACATCAGGGCCCCAAGTGAGTCCAACAAAACTTCTGATCAAAAAAAGGAGAACAGTTCAGCTCCAGATGTGGCTCCATCCCAGGATGCAAAGAGTGGCTAGAAATATTAAAAAGAACAAAGAGGACAATATATTAGATATATTACAAAACATAATGATACAGTCAGATTCTGATATAGGGATAACTTACAGTCAGATAAAGATAGAGAATAATAAAAGGAAAAAGCGATCTTGGTGTTTGTGTGTGTGCACTTACATTTCAGAAATTCCACTGATAATCCTTCACTTTGCAAAGAAAAGTGGCGACATGTGGGTTCACTTCAACCTGTTTCTTCATTACCCCTGTTGTTTTAGATGGCACTTTTCCTTTCAACTTCTTTGTTCCTCTCTTTGGATTAATGCCTACAAAGTGCCTAAAGGGTCAGGAAACAGACAATATGTAATTCACATTGGTTTTAGCTTTTGAGGCATGTAATCAGGTTTTTGAAATTTGACCATATTTTAGATAAGTGTTTCTTAACTCCAGTCCTGTGGACCCACCTCCCAGAAAATGTTTGATGTCCCACTAATTAAAACACCTGATTTAACTCATTAGCTTGCAAGTGTTAAACAGGGAGACAACTAAATTATTCGCCCTAAAAAATTCTATCTCTGCTCGAGTTGAGAAACGTTGTGTTAAAGGCCTCAACATATATAAAACATATCTACTGATATAAAATATTTACATATACAAAATGGAGGAACTTAAATTGTTAGAAATCAACCATTACCTTTGAATGAAGTCCAAAGTTCCGGCTGTCTCCTCCTGGTACTCCAGATTGAATATGTAACGTGCTGCGAACAGAGAGGCAAGGCCAGACAGGAAGCTGGGCTGGATTAACTCATTCTTTTAAACCAATGTTAACAAGATGCATTACAAACAATAAGCAAATTAGCAAGTTAGCAAAGGTCCTTAAATACACATTTAGCTGGTTACGTTAACCGCTTTAACAGCACCGTTCAGAATTTATACAACACACACATCCTCCGTGAGCGGGCTGACTGCGGTGCTTTAGCGACACGTTTTCATTTCGGCGCCAGTGTTAACAGATGACTGCATGTGCAAATCTGATTTACACCATAAAATATTCACGACAAAGTGTGCTGATCAACATGAAGTTCAAGTGAATCACAGCTGTTGTCATTGAAGCATGTAATTCTTAACGTAGGAACCCAGAGATTTTCTGCCCATAGCCGCTGTAATGCCGGGGAATGTGTGAAATACCGCGACCGTGCTGCTGAAACCCCGCGCAAGTCTCCTTCGCGCCCCGCGGACGAAGGATGCATGAATCTGGGGTTACCAATATGAACCGCGAACATAGATACCTTCATATACTACTACAGTTACCAAACATGAAAAATAAAAAACTGAAATAAGTCACTTACCACATGCAGTTGTGAATCACTCCTCTTGCCGCTCCCGAATCTCGACCATTGAAGATCCCATGCCTCTGTATATTTGAAATTTACAGCAATATACTGTACATTTGTGTCAAACATCATGCGAGGAAACAGACAATATGTAATTCACATTGGTTTTAGCTTTTGAGGCATGTAATCAGGTTTTTGAAATTTGACCATATTTTAGATAAGTGTTTCTTAACTCCAGTCCTGTGGACCCACCTCCCAGAAAATGTTTGATGTCCCACTAATTAAAACACCTGATTTAACTCATTAGCTTGCAAGTGTTAAACAGGGAGACATCTAAATTATTCGCCCTAAAAAATTCTATCTCTGCTCGAGTTGAGAAACGTTGTGTTAAAGGCCTCAAGATATATAAAACATATCTACTGATATAAAATATTTACATATACAAAATGGAGGAACTTAAATTGTTAGAAATCAACCATTACCTTTGAATGAAGTCCAAAGTTCCGGCTGTCTCCTCCTGGTACTCCAGATTGAATATGTAACGTGCTGCGAACAGAGAGGCAAGGCCAGACAGGAAGCTGGGCTGGATTAACTCATTCTTTTAAACCAATGTTAACAAGATGCATTACAAACAATAAGCAAATTAGCAAGTTAGCAAAGGTCCTTAAATACACATTTAGCTGGTTACGTTAACCGCTTTAACAGCACCGTTCAGAATTTATACAACACACACATCCTCCGTGAGCGGGCTGACTGCGGTGCTTTAGCGACACGTTTTCATTTCGGCGCCAGTGTTAACAGATGACTGCATGTGCAAATCTGATTTACACCATAAAATATTCACGACAAAGTGTGCTGATCAACATGAAGTTCAAGTGAATCACAGCTGTTGTCATTGAAGCATGTAATTCTTAACGTAGGAACCCAGAGATTTTCTGCCCATAGCCGCTGTAATGCCGGGGAATGTGTGAAATACCGCGACCGTGCTGCTGAAACCCCGCGCAAGTCTCCTTCGCGCCCCGCGGACGAAGGATGCATGAATCCGGGGTTACCAATATGATCCGCGAACATAGATACCTTCATATACTACTACAGTTACCAAGCATGAAAAATAAAAAACTGAAATAAGTCACTTACCACATGCAGTTGTGAATCACTCCTCTTGCCGCTCCTGAATCTCGACCATTGAAGATCCCATGCCTCTGTATATTTGAAATTTACAGCAATATACTGTACATTTGTGTCAAACATCATGCGACCCCAGAATGCATTGCAGTTTACAGCAATATTCTGTATTACCTCTCATTCTGATAGCACCCAGTTGGCCCAAAGCACGGAATCATCTCTGCCATATGCCCAGCCATGGCGCCTCCCCCTCCGCACAGATCTATTATCTCAAGCGAATGGGGAGATTTATCACCCACACCCGGACAGTGTGGCTCTCTGGGCCTGGCCTGTGAGAGGACAAACTTAAACGCGCTAGGACTTCCCCCGCGTGTGGTTGCTACTATACAGAATGCCAGGGCCGTGTCTACTCGGTCCTTATATGGCTGTAAGTGGCAGGTGTTTGAAGGGTGATGTGATGGGCGTCGTCTCACATCATATCAGTGCTCAGTTCTCAATATTTTGTGTTTTTTACAAGACCTTATGGATAAAGGCAGGTCTTTTCCCACCATTTAGGTCTACCTGACGGCTATTTCTGCTTGTCTTGTGGGCTTTGAGGGCTCAACGGTCGGGCAGCATCCTCTAATCTGCAGATTTATGAAGGGTGCCCGTCGTTCTTTGC